AACCTCAGTGATGCCTGAGGGTTGTCCTATCCAACAGGGTTTTGAGAACCTCAAAACCTTAGTGCCTGATTTAGTTACTTTCCTCATTGCCAGGACGAAACACTGAAGACCCACGTTTTAGAAAAGAGGTTTATTTTGGCCCACATTTCAGTCATAGCCTGCTGGCTCCAAGGCAGGGCTGTATCAGCACAGGGGCCTGGTAGAGGAGAGCTGCACATACCATGGGGCATAGGAAGTGGAGAAAAGGGAAGAGCCAGGAGGAGATAAACCCTTCCAGGCCCCGCCTCCAGGACCACCTCTTAGCAACCAGACCCCACCTCCTCACAGCAAGGCAGCTCTAAACTCCTATCATCCAGTCAGCTTCCAAACCATAGGCTGTGAACTGTAACTTTGCCAGAAGAATCTCATCAAAGAGCCCCAAAGGACCTGGGACTTTGGATTATAAAGGCTGAGGAGAAGGCATGTTTGAAGAGCTTTCTCTGCACTGAGGATGGAAAGTATACTTGTTCCTTTCAAGGGTGGTTTCACTGGAAGTTTTGACTCGAGTAAGAGAGGACCAAATCGGTATCCACAGCCTCACGGGTGAGCTGGTGGTTGGAAGGTTTCAGTGGCATGTTGGTGGCCCCTGTCCCTTTGGAAGAAGTAGAAGTCATAAACAAACAGGGAACCTTGGTAGTGTCAGCAATTCAAGCTTCTAGTTCTCTCTCCTCTGGTTAGGAAAGTGACTTGTGGCATTGAGGGGTGTAGGTCAGTGGCACCACACCTGTCTGGCAAAGTACAGGTCCTGAGTTCAATTCCCAGTACCAAAAAAAAAAAAAAAAAAAAACAAACAAAAAGCAAAGCAAAATAAAACAAAACAAAAAAAACCACACACAAAAAAACAAAAACAAAAAGAAAGTGACTTGTAAAATCTCATCAGCGGTGATCAGTAAGTTGATCATGGAAGCATAGCAGAGCTGAAGGAATTCCAAAGCTGTGACTTAACAGCTAATGTCATTGTGAATCACGCCAGGGATCTCTGCTGATTTGGCAGGAAACTAAGGCTCATCTGGCCTCGGGCATCCTCACTTGGTGCATCGGGTCTGTGGGCAGCCTTACATGGCATGTGCACCACAAAAGGGTATGTAGGAAAGGCACCTGGGGAGTCACTCAGAGCTTTCTTCTGATTTTTATTGATGGTGTGCCAGCTGATCACTACTCCTGGGTGGATGTTATCATCTGGGTCACTGTTTCCCCTTTTGTAAAGCGCCGGCCAAATTATTCAGTAGATACCTCGGCAGCTGTTTCCCCATTCGTGTACTCCAGCAGAGCTGCAAAGGTGGAAGGTTATTCCTCTCATTTATTTCACTTAGCGTTATGGTCTCCAGTACGTCCATTTTCCTCCAGATGACTCAGGCTGATCTCTCTTTTTTTTGGTCTTTTTCCTTTTAATCGGTACCAGGGATCGAACTCACGACTGCCTGCTTGCAAGGCAGGCGCTTATGCTGCTGAGCTAAATCCCCAGCCCTGATCTCTTTTTTATGGCAGAGAGGCCACATGAGTTCAGAACTGGGAGGAATAAGGCCTGGTCCTGGCGTGGTCTCCGTGAGCCCTGTGCTCACTTCCTGGGGTCCTCCGACGAGAGAGCTTGGGCTCTGCATTAATAAGGTAAATTTGAATGCTAGTGGAGGTGAAAGAGCAGCTCTTCTTGGAAGAACGGCTTTCACAGTTCTGTAAATAAAAGCTGGTAGACCCAGTTTGGGTTCTTTCCAGAAACTTTATTCCCAAGCTGTTTATTTTAGGTTCCTTCTCCAAGTGTATATTTGGAAAAGGACAGACAAGTGCACTCAGCAACTTCTGTTTTCTGGTAGGAAGATCTGTGGCTTAGGGTGGTGTGGGGCAGGTGGGGAGTCCCCTGTTCATGCAGCGGGCACCATGCCGGGCGCCTTGGAAAGATGTGCAGGATGGGGCTCGAGGGCTTCACCGAGGTGCCACACGTTCACTTACAGGGTGAAAAGTACAGGTCCAAGCTCCTAACTTGATTGGCATGAAGAGATCTCTACTGACTTAAACAGGGTGGCTTGATTATCGGAAAATGATAAGTGCCTTGGATCAAAGAGTTTCACTTGGAAAGCACCAAGATAATAATCAGAACAGTGACAGCAACAAGCCAGAAATCTTGGTGATCACCTTGGGCTGGCTGCAGTTCAAAACATTGTTTTATTTGTTTGTTCATTTTTGAGGCAGGGTCTCACTATACAGTTCAGGCTGGCCTTGAACTTACAGCAATCCGCCTGCTTCAGCCTTCTGAGTACTGGGTTTATGGGCATGCACCGCCATGCTGGACTTCATGCCCTGCTTCTGTGCCCATATCCTGCAGTACTGAAAGAGATGCCTCTGTACTTCCTCACTGGCATTTCTAGAAAGCCTTTGATCCCCTTCCTCTGGACACTGTTCCCCTGCTCCCTGCTCAGTTTTTTGTTTGTTTGGTTTTTTTGTACCAGGAGTAGAACTTAGGATCTTGTGCTTGTCCGGCAGATGTTTGTGCTACTGAGCCATTACCCCCCCCCCCCATTTTCCAGCTACCAGGAACTGAGCATCTTTCTGCTGCCACACCCTTCCACCATGATGTTCTTGTCCCAAAACCAGTTGACCATGGACTGAATGCCCTGAAACTATGAGCTGAATTAAACCTCTTCTCCTCCTTTAAATTGTGGGTGTCAGGTACTGTGTCCCAGCAACTGGAAGGCTAGGTTGGAAGCTGAGGCCTGGTATTTGTCCTTCTGCTTCTCCCACCCCATGGACAGCTGTGGTGACCATCGGCTGTGAGCATTCTGGGACTGCTGTGTCCTGACTGGCACCTTCGAGATGGTGATAAAAGAGCATGTGGCTCGGAACTGACCAGCTCTTCACCGTTCACCACTCGCTCTGGGGTTAGAAATAGAAATAGAAACAATTGTTGATCTGTCTGTGAACTGATTGGAAGATGTAAATAGTAAGCACTTTCGTTTTAGAGCAGGTAGACAGCTTAGCTATGAAACATAGCTAAGTATGGCTGAGGAGGAAACCTTTGGGCTCCCATTTATTTCAGGTTATTTGATCTTTTTTTTTTTGGTCTTTTTCTATTTTATTGGTACCGGGGATCGAACTCATGACTGCCTGCTTGCAAGGCAGGCGCTTATGCTGCTAAGCAAAATCCCCAGCCTATTATTTGATCTTTTTAAGCCCTGACTTCTTACTGGCATCATGACAAAGGATGGATGACTAAGATCTGGAAAAAAAGCACACTGTTTGCACTGTCCACGAAAGTCACCTGTGGTTGCTGTGACCACGGTTGCATTGTTGTGCACCAGGGTCCTAACTGTATCCTTAGGAGTCTCTTGTAGCCCTTGTTGTTGCTGAGGGCAAAGGCCCAGCCAATGTAACTTTGACTTCAAGGTTGTCAAAGGGCCCCTCTGTGATGCCACACTGGGAGCTGTGTGCACACATGCACCTGTGTGCTCGTGTATTTCTGTCTCTATTTCTCTGCCTCATGTGATCTTAGAAATGTGTCCAATTAGCTAGGCACAGTGGTGCACACCTCTCATCCCAGCACTCTGCGAGGCTGAGGCAGGAGAATGTAACCTAGAGCCATCCTGGGCAGCTTAGCGAATTAGCATACCTGTCTCAAAACAAAGACTTAAGAAAGGGCTGGAGGGTATAGTTTGGTACAGAGACACTGGCTTTAGTTCTCAACAGTGAAAAAAAGGAGGATGAGGAGAGGAAATGTATTTATCTAGAATCCTTTGGCACCCTTCTAGAATGGTTTTAGAAAGGAAAAAACTTGAACATTGAAATTAATTTTCTCCTGTGTTGGCTAACCCCACGTTAGAAGGCTGTAAGACACCCACACTTCTTGGTGGGCAAGGGCACATGGCTTCCCCAGTGCGGCAGGTAGACAGGCGATTTGTGATTTGTGATGTGTAAGATGGCTCCAGGGCTCTGGTCCCCTCTTTGTCCCAGTCTTTGTGTCTAAGATCAGCATTGGCACTGGCATTGGCCAATGATGGTGTTTTAATTTCCTGAAGAGTGGGGGACGCAGGAGCCACTCAGTCTGTGTATGCGGAGGGAGTGCAGCACAGACTAAAATGATGAACATGGACGGATCACGAGTCTGTGCAGATGAAAGTTGTTTTGTTGCAGCCTAGCCATTTCTTCTGCACAGGCCTGCCCTGGTGGTGTGGGATTGAATTCAGCCGCAATCATTTATCAGAATTGCTGCACTCAGTCCTCTTGCTTCTGACTCAGTTCTGAGTGAGACTGGCTTCTGTCGTTGGTAAAGATCTGCAGATTGTCCTGATCTCTACCAAGGACTGAAAATGTTGAGCTGGAGACTCGGAGTCCAGGTTTTTAGTCTTGAGGTGCTGCTGGGAGGCCAAAGACGGGGACAGATGGCAGTTTGCTTCTCCTGTGTTCCAGACCATGTGTGTTGTGGGTATATAGAGGGACAAAGACACAGCTTGGTTCCTCTCCTCTAGGCATTTGCAGAAGGTTCAGTGTCACCCAGAAGTGGAGCGTGGAAGAGGTGCTGAAGGGGCTCCTGGAGGATCTGAGTGGGAGGCCAGGGACCAGGGAGGGTGGCCTGGGCAGGGTGAGCAGTGGCACAAGCATGCCTGCGCTACCTGACCCAGGCTCCAGAGACCACCGCTGTCCCTGCATTAGGAGATGTGGCCACAGTGGATGTCTGCATGCCCAGGCTGAGTGTCAGCGTCTCTGGGCCAAGTCTGCAGGCTGAGGAGGGGTCCTGGGAGGTATGAGAGCGGGGAGACGCCTCTGTGTCAGACTGTTGGCCTGGGTGGCGGGGCTTTTTCCTCCCTGGTTACCACACTTCCCTGGGATCTGTCACCAGCACAGTGGGCTGCTGTCAGGGTAGCAATTCTTCCATGCTAGCAGCTTAGCATTCCCTGACTTTCACCATGGAGAGGCACCTGGCAGGGCCGGGCGGGCTGGCCTGCTCTGCTAACACCTTCCCTTGCTTGCAGCGCATGTGGAGAATGAGGAGCAGTACACCCAGGCCCTGGAGAAGTTCGGCGGCAACTGCGTGTGCAGAGATGACCCGGATTTAGGGAGCGCATTCCTGAAGTTCTCCGTGTTCACCAAGGAGTTGACGGCTCTGTTCAAAAACCTGGTCAGTGTTCCCTGAGTGTGCGTGTGTGTGGTTATGCCATGCAAGATGCCTCTGACACTGCCTTTCTCAGGAGAGAGTGAATACATTTTGTTTAATAAACTAGGAAAACATTTCACAGCTCCTGTGAACCTTAAAAGAATGTATTTTCTGTATACGTGGGATGAATTTGGAATAAAGTTGAAACTTGTATCGTTTATTGTAATAGGACTTTTAAAATTCAGCTTGGCATTTTAAATATGCCCAGCTGCAGAACATAACAGGTAGATCCATTCATCTTTGTAAGGGCCTCTGGCTTCAGATTTTAATAGTTCTAAACCATGTAGAACAGTCTCTGTCGCTAGTAATTACGGCAGGCATTGGTAATGATAATATTTATTAAATACGTTCCAGACCCGTCTTTCACAGCCAGCTAACCTATCATCAAAGAACAAAAATTACTATGAATATTTAAAGACCTTTCACGCTCCCATATATACAGCCTAAAAAAGCAGGGCTGAGAGGAACGTCTCGACTTTCTGAGCTACTAGAAGTGCAGGGCTGGTACCGGCTGTGTGCAGGCTGCTTGGTAACGGGGGTGAATTGACTCTTTCTTGAGCTTGGCAGCCTGGAGCCTTTCTTGCCGTGGGAACAGAATTTTGAAGAAGTGGGCAGCCAAGGGCAGCTTGTGACCCTGCCGGGTTGGTTTCTTCCTCAAGGGGAATAGGCCCCGGGGATCGCCTCCACATCTTTCCTGTTTTTCCTCCCTGGCTTCTCCTAAAGGTCGCAGAAGACGGGGTCTGGAGCTCAATAATGCTCTCTCTGTAGGTTGCAAATAGCAGCATCTTTTTCATTTCTTCTGTTAGTGAGCTCATAACAAGTGCGAAACCAGCTCATCATTCGTGAACTGGTGGTGGCGGTGGGTTTGTGAGTCTGGCCCTTAGAAGGGCAGAAACCAGGGAACATGATGTATGAGTTAATAATGGGAAGGACAAGGGAGTAAGATGATTAAGACTCTTGGTCTGTCTCCCTAGCTTCAAATATTTCCACTGGAAATGTTGAAAATAAAAAGCTATCACTGTGCTTTAAGTTTTTTACTTAGATGAGTTTGAAATCTCTTGTGGCTCTGATCAAGCTCATTGCTCTTTGTCCCTGCCCTGAGCCTGGATGCTGAGCAGCAGAGCCCTCAGCCCTCATGTTTTGGCAGGCATTCATTGTGGGGGCTCATCACTGAGTCAGTAACTGGAAGATGTTTTTTCCAAACCAGAGAAACTGTGTGGTCCCAGGGCAGAGTACTATGGAGGGTAACATGGTGGAGTTTCCTGGTTAACACCCACAATTTAAAGGAGGAGGAGAGGTTTAATTTGGCTCATGGTTTCAAGGGATTCAGACCATGGTCAACTAGTTCCAGGGCAAGAACGTCATGGTAGAAGGGCGTGGCAGTAGAAAGAGGCTCAATTCATGGCAGCTGAGAAATAGAACAGGGGAGCAATGCCAGAGAGAAGAAGGCCCCAGGGAGCAGATGGAGTCCCCCAAGGTCGCCCTCCATAACACCCAGAGGTGTGCTCCATCCATCTCCCCTCATGTGAATCCCAAAACCAGTCAAGTTGACTCTCTGCCCTAATCACCATAACTTCCTAGTATTTTTTTTTTTGTCTTTTTCCTTTTTATCGGTACCGGGGATCGAACTGCCTGCTTGCAAGGCAAGTGCTTATGCTGCTGAGCTAAATCCCCAGCCTCACTTCCTAGTATCTTACCCTTCAGCTCATGGAGATAGGGTCCAGGGTGGAAGAAACCAAAGTAAGCAGAAAAAAAGAAGTTAAGAGAGAACAGCAATGCGAAGTGCAGAAGAAAGCATTAAAGAAATCAGAAGAGGCACTGTGTCAGAGGAGGCAGATAATGTGAGTGACTGTTAAAGAAGGGCAAAGGAACACCATTCATTTAAGAAAGTATAAAATCACTTGGGAGGCTGAGGTAGGAGGATCCCTGCAAGTTCAAGGCTGGCCTGGGCTACAAAGTGAATACAAGGCCACCCTGAACTGCAGCGCAAAAAGACTAATAATAATAATAAAGTCAGAGATCCAACAAGAAGGGTTGGAGCAGAAGAAATTTCTTAGGAAATAGATTAAAACAAAAGCAAAATGGGCAAGTAGGAAACAGATAAAAGCCCAGCGTGCAGCTGAAAGGTGTTTCCAGAAAAGGACGGAGGGAGGGGACATGGGGATGCAGCACACAGCTGCCCTGTGCCTCCAGACAGAGGCCCCCCCAGATGTCCAACACAGTGAGGGAAGAGAACAGCCCAGGGCAGCTTTATGGCAAATCGCCACTCATGCTCAAAGTCCCCAGAGAGCACGCAGGGTCCAGGTTCAGAGCAGCTCTAAGGAGTGGAGCAGCACTCTTGAAGTCCTGCAGAAATAGCTGCCCCTTGGAATCAGACCCAGTGCTGGGCAGAAAAGCACAGAACGAGAGATGTTTTCAGAGATGCAAGGCTTGAAAAGCTGCAGTCCTGTATGTCATCGCTGCAAAACTCCCACAGGAAGTGCTTTTGTGAGATGAAACCAGGAAAGCGGGCTGGAGAGTTGGGAGCAGGATTCAGTGTGGAAGGGCGGCAACAAGAGGGCATCCCAGCAGGGCAGCAAAGGATGTCCCAGCCTGGCCGCTGAACAGAAGCTCAGCGAGCAGCCTGCAACAGGTCAGGGAAGGCTCGCCCAGTCCCTCCACCCCAAGACAGCTAGATTTGTGTTGTGGACTGCCTGGATGTACTCATCTGTGAAAAGGAGATAACGCCAGACTTGATTTTGTGTGTTTTATACATTTTATTTTATTTAGTCCTTGTCACAACCCTAAGATGGGTAAATGTTATCTCTGCTTTATAGACTGGTTAACTGAGGCCCTTGGGTCTTGGCCTCCTGGAAGGGGCCCCCAGCTTGTACTCAGTTACCCACATGGGCAGCTGTGCGCTTAAAGCAGCCTTTTCTTCTTTTTAAATTTTCTGCAAAAGTAGAAAGCAGGGGGTACTTGGGTGCCAGAACTGGCACATTGCTCATCACACCGTGGTTTTGCCACGTGCAGTACGTCATAAGAGCTCACCACAGGTCTAGGCTGTGGTCCCTCTCAGCGCTCAGGGACCGCAGCGTGGGAAGCGCAGGATGGTGGCTGTGCGGGAGACTCAGGCACCTCCTTCTCAACATGAGGGGCACATGTTGAGTCACAGCAGGGGCCTTATCTAAGTAAGGGGTGGAGCTGGGATTCAGATCCAGGCATTCCCGTGCCAAACCTGTGGTGTTTCCACTGTGATATTTAAAGGAGCCAAATCTTCTGATTAGATTCTTGGACAAGAAGAGGAGTGATAGGAAGAGTAGGCAGCACAAGGCAGAGTGCAGAGGAGAGACAGGCAGGGTTCCTCACCTTCTCTAATGGGCAGTGCAGGCTATGCCAGCTGGGAGTGAGAGGGGTTTGCCTGTTAGTCTTTGAGATCTGTGAACTTAGCTTTAAGTACCTGTGCATTGCTTTCATTTTGACTTTTACGTTTTGGAGTTGGAATTCTTGACCCTATTTCCCAGCAATGGATGAAAAGATAAGGCTGTCTTATTTGAGCCCAGATCAGCATCTGTCAGGTCTGATGCCGCAGCCCTTCTGATGAGGAAGCCCTCAGCCCTGGGAATGAGGAACAGCAGCTTCAAAAGAACTGGGCCGGGGCTGGGCTGCACTGAGAATTCTTCTTTTTCGGTACTTTGTGTGCCTGCTTACTCCTGTATGCAGTCACTTCTGTCCTACCTCACATTTTCAGTCTTTGCTTTGCTTTCTCTTAAGCATTTAATAAACGTTTCAGTTCTGTACGGTTAAGATTCTTAATTCCACCTCTGGTCCAGAAAGAATAACTCCCACCTGCCTGGTTCGAGGCCTGAAAGGATGTTTCTGAAGCAATTGGAATATCCACAGAAAAGGTCTGCCTGATTTAAAGCAGGAGTTTCTTCCTCATGGGGCAGTTCTCGCCTTCAGATAGCCTGGGACTTTCCCTTGCAGTCACGCAGGTTATAGGGAGAAACCTGCAGCTCCAGGAATGTAACGCGTGTGACGCTGAACATTCATAGCATCCAGTTGGTGACTTGGGTCTTTCCCTCTTCCCAGATGGAAGTGTGAATCCTGGAGGGGTTTTCCAGGCACTTCTGTGTGAACAGCAGCTGGGTAACAACAGGCTGCAGTAGAGCACTGGTCCTGAAAGTCTCTCGGCATCTTTGACTCAAGTACGGACAGGAGGAACTTGTGGTCCATGGAACCAGCTCACTCTGGAGACTGGCATCAGTTGGAAGCAGAGGTCTGTGTTGCTGGGCCGAGGATCCAGCCACGGGGTGGGACCAGGAGTGGCCCAGGCTGAGGAGTTTCAGCTCACACATGAAGGGCAGCCCGAGCATCCACCACCAAGCAGCATGTCCCTGAGTCTCCAGGGTTTATCATTGGTGACCAGAGTTAGAGAACAGAAGGAAGCTAGTGAGGTCCTATCAGGGAGAGCAGCAGCTTGTGGCTTTGTAGGACAGGCCGTATCTGGCAGGTGATGGCCTTGCCTGGTGGAACTGCTCCATCTCACCTGGCCGCATCGTATACTACACAGGCCCTGTGTCTGTGCATTGTCCAGCTTCTATAAAGTATGAACTCATCTGCCACATTAATGCCACCTTTTGGGAGGAGCACATAGCCCTTGTTGGTGACATCAACTTGTGAATGTTGCAGAAATCGGGGGAAAATCCTCCCATGGATTGTGCATTTGGGCATATTTGCCCCTAGGTTCATCCTGGACTACTGGGCTTCTAGTTGGCAATAATCTTTTTAGTATTCTGATTCTTTTTCATGCTGGTTGCTGGGTTTATTGCTGTCAGTGCTTGCTTCTAATATCCATGCTATAGACAGAATGATGTGGCTTGTTGAACTTTTGGCAGTTTAGGAGTCCCCAGGGTTTGAATGGAGGGCATGAAGGCTAGAGCCTCTTTAGGGGGCAAAGCCCACAGATTGGGTTTGGAGTGGCC